TCCGCAGTCGGCAGAAGTTCGGATGTCGAATGGATGTCGAATTGCGATGAAAATCACCTACAAAGATTTCACCTAAAATACCGCGGGTCAATCCAAGAAAGAAAGCAGGAAAAAGCAGCGGGATTTTTTTCTAAATCTGGAAAACATAAATCACCACAAAAGATAGATGGGTCAACACTTAGGACCCAGGGAACCCTATTTTGTGTTAACCATATTTCATAGTATTTATAGGGTTAATACGATTGAAATATGGTTAATACCATGGTAACACTTGTTTTTTGTATTTTTTTGCATATTTAATAGTATTAACCATAGTACTAGCCAATCTAACTAGTAGTCTTAACCATATTTTGTAAGTATTTGGGTAGCAAATTTTGACCCATACCCCTCCATGGGAAACCCCATAGACTCTATAGCCATTCCAAGAGCGCGTGACAGATTGACCGCATGACGGGCTGGCTATGTTCGCCCATGTGTTGATCTCTCCCACTGAGGTATTCAGACCATGTGTATATACCCTCTGGTAATTTAACAGTTTGCTATTGAAAATGACCATTTATAGTGGATTTTCCCATTGAAAATGGTGATTTTCCATAGTTATGTTAGCTTACCAGAGGGTACATGCACATATTATGTCGACATATTATGTGTCACTACAAAAAAGACATTGGATTGCAGTTCAGAAAACACAAAACTATCGCAGGAAGTTACATTGCAGTAAGATGTTTTCCTTTACATTGCATTGCAGTTGCAGTAGATTGCATTAGATTGCATTAGATTGCATTAGATTGCATTAGATTGCATTAGATTGCATTAGATTGCATTAGATTGCATTGTATTCCCCTCCAGCTATTCAATATAGCTATAGGTTTGCCACGGTTTACACATGGAAAAATGCTGGGCTGTTACGCATGGAAAGAGTTGGAGCGGAGTTGGACGGAGTTCTTGCGTTGCTTCTTTTGGCCAAGTCTGAATTCAGAGCACAAAAAAGACAAGCCATTTCTCAGTAAAATATGATGAAACATACTCTACTACATTTACACTTGATAGGAAGATCGTAAAACACCAGCAGAATCAATCACTTCGAGGGCAGAAGAGTTCGTTTGTTTTCAGCTTCCCAACTAATATGCATTCCAGTGCACCCTCGCAATACCCTATCAAATCGCTGACAAACAAGCACTTGTATAAGGTGGTGCCACAAATCCTTGGTTAAGTTGGTTTACTTCAGTAGCATAACTAATAGGGTTTATGATACATACATACATATATATATATCATATATATATATATATCCTCACTTTGATGGACCAACTTCCAACTGATTATATTCAAATTGCTTGAAATTTCTCATGGAAATCTGTTGTTTTCCCCATGACAAAATATCCCATTCAAATAGCCAAAAAAACTCCGGCTGTGTCCACCAGTGAAACACTGTGCTGAGCTTAAAACATTATCCATCACAGCTAGCGCTTGCTGACGCACGCGGCTGATGTAAGGAGTATACCTGGAGGGAGCTGGATGAATTCACCTGGGATGGCTGGATCTCGATCCTTCCCACTTTTCGATGGCTGGTGAGATACTCAGGAATTGACCTACCCCCCTGGTTGGTGGTTGACCTACCCCTCTGAAAAATATCAGCTGGGATTTCCCAATATATGGAAATTCATTAAAAAAAATGTATGTTCCAAAGCACCAACCAGGCCCAGTCTTTTTGATGTATTGACGACTCATTGAGAAGCCACCGAGCGCCAGAGCTCGTTGCTGATGTCATTTTCGATCCCACGTTCGGTGGTGCCCCCCCAGTTATACCCGGCCTGGTAAACGTTTACAGTTTGCGAACTGGAAAATTGCCCAGTCGAAATAGTTGATTTACCCATTAAAGGTGGTGATTCTTCATAGTTATGTTAGTTTACCAGAGGGTAAGTGGCTTTACAACCATAGCAAGTATAGATATATCATGATATATCTAACATAAACCCAAACGTGAAATTGGAGTAAAAAATATTTGCACAACAACGACTCTAGCGTTTTCACAGCTCACGAACGGGCCGGGGCACCACCGTGGGCACGTATGGGGGAGATGACATCCATCACTGATTTATCCACGATTTTTCTTCATGGGTTGCTGGGATATGCTGGGATCACCGTGATTTATGGAGCTTATGGAGCTTTGGCTTCGGAATGGAGGGATATCTGCTGGGATATTTGCTATATGGACTAATCTGGAGAGATAACCAGTATGATATGGACCAGTTCATCATGTTTGGGAGATTTTGGGAGCATACCTCTGGTCAAAGCCACATGAATCCTGCACGGAACACAAATTTGTGGAATATGTGGCTTTTCTTTTCCACTTGAATGTGTAGGCGCCGCACCCTTCCCGCAAAGGCAAACTCGAAATGAATCCGGAGGCAAATAATCATCTTTGTACACTCTGAAATTTAATGCGGAAACTGGTTTATAATACCATTGTCCAAACATTTTTCAAACCTTCCAAACAACACGATGTCTGAATGACATGAACGACCATGTTTTGGTCTTGGGGAATCCTTCGGGCAACTCCTGGGTATTTCCCAACTGTGTCGGTGTGTCATTCATCCTACCACTTCTGCTGATGGATAGGGAGTGCCATTATGGGGATAGGGAGTGCCATTATGGGCAATGTCAGAATCCCTCAAAAAACACCAGATAGCTTCATAACCCCTTTGAGAAATACCTAGTCATCTATCAATATCAAGTGTATCCCCGTATTTTTGCTGGTTAAACATCCATATTTGATACTTAAATCCCCACTAAGGCAGCAAAGCCCTCATATTCTTCACATCTTAGGCCGTGTCCAGCAGAATTTCCACGGTGCGCGTTGCACGCCACGCCTCTCGTAAGTTCTAAACAACTTCCCACGCCATTGGGCGCGGTGCCCTGCACAGATCAGCGCAGGTTGTAGCAGTACCCTGGGACCATCAAAATCACAGAAAGTTTTCTGCAGGTGGTGCCCGGTGCCCCAGTTCAGTAGCTAAGTTGGTGCAATAACTCCAATAACTATGGTTTATGGTAGATATAACTATAGTTAATGGGGTATAAACCAATTTATAATTAGGGGGCACCACACCACTTTGTATATAATCAAATACAACCCAAGATTGGCCCTAGATATCTCATTGCAAATAAAATTTTATGGATGTCGAATTATATCTATGTTCACCATGTGGTTTCCTATAATATGTGTCGAATATGTGTACCCCTAGATCATCCATGTTTAACAAGGACTTTCCATAAACAAAAACCAACCATTTCGGAAGTACCGCCCAGGCTGCGAAGGCGAGGTGCACCATTTCGCTGGGAAAACACCGATGTTTCATCCACCAGGGTTTATTACCCCCATGATCATTCCAATCATCCGATGATCATCCGCAACAAACCAGAATCAATCATTGAAAAAACAGACATGAACCGCAATCACCCACAATTAATCATTTATCATAATCAAAAAAAAAATACCCACAGTAACCCATTCCTTTTCTCCGCCAAATTGTGGCTTTTGCGAAACATAATCAAAATTTGAGGTCGACAGCTGCAGGGGTAACGAGGTTTGTACCCTCCGGTGTCCTCATGGCAATTACGTGGAAATCCCCAAACTAAATGGGCGCTCAAGTAGCCACTAGCCCCAGAGTAAGATAAGGTTGAGAATATGGTTATATACCATACTTACAATATAGTAATCCCCCATCATATAACCACAAATTAAACCATATATGTAACCCATATATATATATATATGTATTTTTTATATAGGTAGCCGCTCTCCTTTTTGCCGCCTTGAAAGGGAGTTGTATGAGCTCTCTGCCGGTGATTGTTGGCATGAGAGGTCTTTCTGCTACCACTCAGAGGTGTAGTCTGGGATGGGACGGGAGGGGGCTTGAGCCCCGGCATCATTCAATTGGCAACCTGTCATCAGGTAGCCGCTCTCCTTTTTGCCGCCTTGAAAGGGAGTTGTATGAGCTCTCTGCCGGTGATTGTTGGCATGAGAGGTCTTTCTGCTACCATCCACCCCAGTCTTTCCAATGCCTTGCTCAAAGCCATCTGCACCTCTGAGTAGATAATACCATGCACTTGGTGGAAATCCACACTCGAGAAAAGCCATGATGCGCTCGAGGGTGATCGCATATCCACCAGCAAACAAATGAATTAGGGCCCTTGTCTTAGGGTTGATCTTCTCTTCGAAGGTTGTGACCATGACTTCCTGCAGGTAGATTTCCATAGTGCGGGCACTCAACCAACGTCCCCTGCGCCGAACCAACTCCGGCTGTTCTGTCTGATGCAGCAACCAGGTAGCTCCGCCTGGGCGCAGGGAGCCCAAGTCAAACGGTCGGTGATCTGCAGCCCTCCGATCAGGTAGGTTGAGTGCCCCAAGCAGCTGAGAAAATCTCTTCCGCAACGTTGAGGCTGAATACGGCCACAGCTTGTCTGCATGATCTGCACGGGCATACATCTTTGTCAGAAATTGGATGACATCAGATTGGTCGATCCTAGCAGCTTGGTGACGGGCCGACCTGCCCCGTGTCTTCGGTTGTCTGATGACAACTAAAACGAAGGGGGTGCCGGGAGCTGAGTCACAAGGCAAAATCAGCTCGGCTCTTGTAGCTGCTAAAATTTCCCCAATCCTCATAATGCCAGTCCAACCAATAAGCAGCACCGCCGCCTCGTGTGGCCACCCCCACATCAGCGCTGCTGTCACCATTGCAGCAAGGACTGTAAGAGGCATCGCCGGGTGGTGCTGCGTAGGTTCGTCTGACAGCCAAGCAAAAGCCAGGTCCCACGCTCCATTCAGCTGCCTCCTGATCAGCGGTCTTTCAACTGCAATGGCGTTGATGGTTTCGGAGAAAATCCCATAGCTTTTTCCCCCAGCATAAAGAGCTCTGCCGTATTCGATCAGCAGATTTGAAATGCGTTCAGGGTCCGGAGGTTTTACTTCCAGCAAAAACTTCAGGGACACTCCTCTCTCACTCCAGAGCCAGCTGCGGAACCTTTCCAGGTAAATGCGCCGCTTGTCTCTGGTTTGCTCTCTGACTGCCCTTGTGGAAATGATTGCAGTGCCAGCCCTCTGCAAAACTCGATCCCTGTCAGCCTTCGAGCATGGCTCAATTGGGGCGCCAGATGCAGCATGAATGCAAAGAACCATGGCGACTACCCATGCCCGTGTTAGGCTAAACCTACGGCTGAACCTACTTTTGGGGGGCCTACGTGTTTTACTGTGTGCAACCTTACAAAGGACAAAACCGAGCACAGACACGCAGAAAACCAAAAGTCCCACGGCTGAAATCCAGGTGGGAATGAAGGCCGGACCAAGGCCAAAAGGGAGATCAAGGCCGCGGGCAAAATCCAAAAACCAGCCAAATCCCTCACGGAGCTGAGACAGCCAGCCTGAGCATGAAAACGGAAGTCCATGGCAAAAGTCAACAGTGACAGGGACAGTCCAGGGCATACCAGTGGAGGAGATTCCACAAGCTTCGACGGAGCTCGGCATGAGGATGACCAGGAGTACAAGACGTGCCCAGTTAGCAGAGAAACGACGGAGACCACGCATGCCATCTCGCCTCAGTACATCCCAAGGGCAACCGTGTTGAACCAAAGAGGCAGCACAAGCGGACCTCACAGGCCTACCCCGGGTGGGGTCGTCAGCAACATTAAGCCTGGTGGGAGAGTAACCCCAAGACGGATACAAATCACCACAGACACAGATGGCACCGGCTTTCCTCACAAGAGGTTGGAGAGCACGCGACGGGGAACGCCCTTTGGTTAAAGCTCCTCTCGCAACAGCAGAGTCAACGAGGTGACAAAAGCGAACTGAGGACCGACGCGAGGAAAGGGACACAAGGTTGGACACTGCAGCAGAGGTTTCCAGGACATTGATATGGCCAGGTTTCTTCCAAAACCAATCTCTCACCAAAGTCCACTTCGCCGTAACCATAACGTCATTCGCAAGGACAGACTCATGACCCGCAGTGTCTGGCTCCAGGCACTCACTCGCAGACAGCAACCTCAAGGCTCGGCGGAAAGCCTCGGCAATGTGCAGAGCAACACCATCTGTATAGGTTGCTGATGGCTTGGTGTAGGCACCCTGAATACGGACATGAGCATGACCACCACAGCACCTGACGTCCAGAAATTCCGTGTCCAACAGGTAACACAACAGCCGAAACTCCTTACGGTGAATGCTTTTGAACATGCAAGAGGCGATGACCGCTTCGGAAAATCCACAGCTGAGAAGGGTCCTCCAGAAAGTGAGCCAGCACATCTTAGACAGCCTACTCTGCTCAAGTCCACATGGTCTGCGGCAGCGTCTGCCAACCCTCAGCAAGACAAGCGCACGAAAAGCCAAAGTGTTCCCATGCAGCGTCTTTGGGTTGGTCCTATCAAAACCCAGAGGCTCCCGATAGGATCTCACAGCAGGGTGAGCTGCTGGGCTGAATGTTGTACAGGGCGGCTCCACAAAGAAACTCCTGAACCGGTCCTCCTCAATCATGTAAATTGCCCATTCCAAAAGCCGCAAGGACGCAAGGTCATAATGTCTTGACTCGGACAAATCCAGAACAGGGGCACAGACAAAACCAAAAGACGCCATGGCCGATGTGATCTTTCCAGCCCCCCCGCAAATCTCCAGAAAGTCATAGTACATCAGAGGAGCTTTGAAAGGACCTTCAGCCTCGCAGGTTTCAGGGGGCAAGCTCTCTTCGCCATCAAACTCCCCAAGCCCACGCAAGAGCGCACGAAAAGGATTGTCCAAGAGCACATACCCAGGTTTTTGATCTCAAGCCAAAGGATCGTTTCAGTGGTCCTAGGAATGGGCGCCTGAATGATGGCACCTTTGGCAGAAGAAGCATCAGTGGCAAACACCTCCCCAAGGTAATCCACAGCTATATTGGTCATGACAAGGGGGGCTATTACCGCAAGCATGCATATCTCCTGTGCGATCTTTCTGGTCAGTTGGTGGACCTGAGCTGGGGATTCTTGGCACTTCGCACTGAAAACAAAAGCCTCATCTATCAAAGAAGACCAAACCTTTCTGAACTGCAAAACCGAAACCCATTTGCCAAGGAGACGCGCAAAAAGACCAGCAGTGACGCCGGGGAGAACAGCAGCGCGCAGAGACAAAACCGACAGAGCCAACCTCTTGCTGAACGGGGCAGCTACAGGCACAAATCCACAGCGCACATTTGTCTCACCTGACCTAATCTCAGCTCCAGCAGCTTTCAGAGTCGAGGCTGAACAGACATCCTTCTCAGGTGAGCCGAGAAGACTGCTGGCATCATAGCTGTCTCGGGCTAAGTCCAGAGCCCTTCGTGCTAAACCATCGGCAGGGTTGCTGGAAAGTCGTTCAGAGCTCAGGCAAAAATAGTCATCAATCACAAGAGCCTCCCATTGGTCACCACGAGGAAACGGCTTGTTCCCTTGAATGCGCCGATCTTCATGCAAAAGGCCAGCATCTTGGAGCAGCTGCTCATGACTACGCAGTGCGAACTCAACCCCAAGGTGGTCCCCTTGAAACAAAGACTTGAAGCAGGGAAAGGCGGATTCAGGCAAGGCACACGAAGACCTGACCTTGGGTGGAAGTCCAAGCCTATCACCTATCACCTCTCGCCTACCAGATTGCTTGACACCAAACTGATTGCGAAAATCCATCAAGGCAGAGCATCCCTGGAAATCCAAAAGAGGGAAAGCAAAAGGGAGCATGTTGGTGCGTGCTCTTTCTGCAGCTACGGCAGCCTGATGGTAAAAATCCCTCCTATCAGTTATGGAGCCACGAATGCCATGGGTGAACCGAGGCACATGCAAGTACACCAGGGAGCGACCCTGGGGCAAAAACTTGGAGGGCCCATCAACATGAAACTCAGACAAGTTTGGGAGCCTCCTATCGCCAATCTGTCGGTCTCGGGTTTGGTCCTTATAGGCATTAAAGACCCGAGAGAAATACCCAGGCTTCAAGGGTTGAGCTTCAAGGTGCAACAGGCCACGCACATCCCAAAGACGAGCAAGCTTCAGGCACTCCTCAAGTTTTTCAGCTGCAAAAATTGGGTATCTCTCCAACTGGAACCTCATGGCCATGACACAAAAACGCAGGCTCTTGGAAGGGCAACCAAAGGGGGCCATTCAAAAAGGATTCCATAGGCCATTTTCCCTCGCCAACCAACTTCAAGCGACCGACATCGAGCGACCGATGGGCAAAAGCTCAGGGTGTTCACTCACAGACAAAAGGCCAGGGTCTGGGGTGAACGGACGACAAGGACCATGCAAATAGCCGGAGGCAAGATCAGGACAGACATCACAGAAACGCTCCAGCTGGAACAGGTTGGAACCAAGTTCAGGGCCGGTTCGACCAGGGCACAAAGAAACCAACTCCCGGGCGTCACCACACACAGCTATCATAGTCCGCAGCCTGTCAAAAACGGCACATTGCTCAACAGACGGGGACCTCCTGAGCTCTTCAAGCGACGGCCATCTACCAAGGAACATGAAATCCAAAACCAAAGTCCAGATATTCAGAAGACGCTTCTTGGCCAAAGTCCAAAGTCGCTTTTGGGAGAGTCCAGGGCCACTGCTCCGAAAGCAATCCAGAGAGGGCAGGGGCAGTGGAAAAACTGTGGAAGCCGTCTGGTCAGATCGGCTCAAGGCAGCAAAAGAACGGGCAAGGCAGTGAGAAAACGTTGTCCTCGACCTCAAAATCCAACGAGGCAGACAGATCGCCCATTGGCGAAAACTGATCTGAGCTTGCAAAGGATTGGAGGTAACCTCTGCCTTGTTGATGCTCTTGTCTCCAGGACTCAGGCTTCGTCTACCTCTGCTGGCTGGGTTTGGCCTCCTCTTCCTCCTCCCTTGGCTTTCTTCTTCGCCGCAGGCTTTGCTTTGGGTTGGCCTGGACTTGCGTCCGTCGATGAGCTGTTGCCGAATGCCCCTTGCCGACTTTGACTTGTCAGCTCCAGACGCTTTGAAGTGATCACATCCAGTTCTTTTATATAAGCCAGAGCCACTGTGACCCATTTTTGATCCGCTAAAGGCGAGAAGGCCCGCAGCTTTGCCAGGATGTTGCCCTGGCGACTTGTGAAGATAGTCGAGGGAGGCTCCTCCTGTAGGCAAAGTAGTTGAGCCAGGTCGAACTTGCCAGAGTCCAATGCGGCTTGATCCAGGGTGACTGCCAAAAGGGCGGTCTGATCCCGAGCAGCTTGCCAATTCTGCGTCTGCAGACAATCCATGATGGACATGACTTGATGCTGCAAACATCCAAGCTCCCTCACCTTCCCGTAGCCACCAAACCTTTCCAGGTAACGGGTTCCGCAGATACCTCTGTCCATCAGTTCCTGAGGGCTGCCCTCCGGTGACATCGTGGGGCACATCTGCCTTGACATGGCTGCCAAGACTGAAGTGAAGAAGCTTCCCTTCTGCGCCGCAAGCTCTGCTTGAAGCCGGGCTCGTCCTTGTGCTCCACGCGTTCCAGATGAAGCTCCAGTTGTGCTGAGCTCCACCATTGGGTCGCCGCTCTGCTGAGCTATTTGTGCCACCAAAGCTGTCAGCGCCTGAGACTGTGCCAGTACTGCCTGAGCCAGCGGATCTGACGAGGAAGATTGGCCGCCCTCTCTCTTCTCGTCCTCCAATTCTTGCAGCTCGTTGGGGCGCACCAAAGGAGATCCCCAAGCGTCCTTGGGGGCGTACCAAGCTGCTGAGCTATTGTTCCCAAACTGGAGGTCTGTGGCATCAATGCCGAAGAGATAGGCTGGTGCAGAGTCACACTGGGACCGGCTTCTGGGGCTGTTGGGATGGCCACGCGCTTCTCTAACGCAATTTGGCGCTGTGTGAGAGACTCCAGATTCTTTGTGAAGCCTTCGTTCATCATCAGCAGCTGCCCCATGGAGGATGCCAAAGTGGCAACCGTGGGCCGCTTTACGCCTGAGATAGGCCGCTCTGGCCCAGGCGCTGGAGCTCTTGCTTTGCGTCTTACTGCAGGTCGAGGTGTCACAGGCGGGTCGTCTGCTTGTTCCCCGATGTCCAGATCTGGCACTTCCTCTGTGGCCTCCTCCACCGACAAATAGGCCCGATGAGAAGTCTCCCCGCTGGCCTCCGCCCACTCCCGAGCAGAGGTTATAAGCAGCTGAGGGTGAGGTACAGCAAACGGCTGATCTGCATCGAAGGTGTAGGGGTAGGCATCGCCGGCATCCACTGGCCGCAGTTGCGCCACCACGCTCTCGTTCAGATCGACTACAACGACCGACATGAGAGACCCGGCGGGCGCCAAAACTCCATTGTCCAGCACCATTCCGGGAAGCCGCAAAACTGTTGAAGGCCCTACCACACCAGGAGGAGGATCCATGTTGCCATTGGCCCAAACCTCTTCGGGCATGAAACCAACCGGAACCGCAGCTAGGAACCCTCCAGGCCTTTTCAGCACCACAAGGACGGCCGCTTCGGGCTCGCCATCGTCTGCCGGAACTTGAGGCCAATCCATGATGTAGGGGACCACATCGTGCTCTACTGTAACCAGATCTGCCAGTGCCATGCTGTATGCACCTTCCATTGTTCAGACTAAGGGGCAAAGACCACGTCAGTGATTCCTGCTGCCTGCAGGTAGATCTTGGCCTCAACCTCACTTGGGAAACTCTGCGAGATGGACTCAGAGTTGGACAGGGAGCCGATGCAGCCCCAGTACCCAGCCGAGCTCTTGAAGATGGTGGGTCTTTCCAAGCCTTCTGCACGCAAGACTGCGTAGAACCTATTCCTGAGGTCAATAGGTGGTGTCCTATCTGGGCTGCCGATTCTGGAGTCGCGCACTGCAGCTGCCCACTGGCCACAAGTCCAGGCCCTGTTAACTCGATCTCTTCCAGACAGGGAGGACCCACAAAGTCTGGTGCCCAAGGCAAACAACGACGGAGGGCAAGGCAAGAGTGACCGACGCACCTGGTCTCGGGTCTCAAGTCCAAGGGGACGAGAAGGAGCAGCAACAGGAGAACCAGGGACACTGGAAACCAACTCAAACTCCGACGGGGCAGACAGGTCAGGCTCAAAAGCAGCGACGTGTTGAAGAAGCGCGGCAGCAAGTCCAGAGGACGAGGAAGAGCCAATGATGGAAACTCGAAGTCCACAGGGGAGAGTAAGGGACAGGTCAACGGTGGCGCTCTCGGTGGATGGAGCCCTGCTCATGCAAGTAAGAAGACAGCACCCGGGCACGAGACGGAAGAACAGGTGGGCCAGACAAGTCCACAGGAGAAGTCCACCGACACAAATCAACCACCAGAGGCCAAGACCACAAGTAACCAAACCACAAATCCAACCAAGAAGAAAGAAAAGGGACACCAAACCGAAACTAGGTTGCACACAGTAAAATGGACACCCTAGTCCCCACAAATTAGTTGAAAGTCCCTCGAAGACCAAACCTAGAAGGGCCCTAGGAGACATGAGGCTTGAGCCCCGGCATCATTCAATTGGCAACCTGTCATCAATAAGATTATATATATATATATAAGCCATGAACTAACCCACGAGACTAACCCACATAAGCTGCAACCCACAAAAACCAACGCACCGTGGCGTCCGCGCCTGACGTAAACCACACTTCCACTTCGTAGCCCTTGTTACGTCCAACCACTGGGCCACGGAGCCAGGCGGAAAAACTGTGGCTTTTTTGTTGGGGTTCCAGGTCCATGGGGATCCCAAAAAATGGAGGTGTCCTGAGTCATAGGGCTACCCCAGTTCTCATCCATTGATGGCATTTTCCATGAAACATATAAACCATCCAGGGATCATCTGGGGGGAAACCCCCAGCTCGAAACCCCCAGATGATCCCCATAGGACCCTGTGTTTCTGTGGTGTTTTCTGAGTAAAAAATCACCCCATGGGACCCACAAAATCACAAAAACCAGGCTTCTTTTCAGCACGAGTCCAATGATCCTCATGCAACCACTACAATCATTAATGAGTACAATGAATTGGTCATATTGTTGATATATTTTGGGCACTGGACAATTGAGATGAAAAAAATGTGACTGGTGATCTAAAGAGATTATGGATGAACTGACTGTCAGGGGACCAATCGGTTTCAGATCCATCGAATTTCTAGGGACCCCCGGCTGGGACCCAAAAAATCTTGCCATACGGAATGGGATCACATCTTGGCTGTTGAAACATCTGCAACAGATAGTGGCTGCCCTTGAAAATCACGGCTCCCCAAATCCTCTAACCGGTGAGGTGAAACAACCATGAGATATGATGAGGTATCTAGACTTTTCGAAAGCTTCCAGTGTGAAATCAGAAGAAATGAGAAAGCAATGACGACGTCATCACAACGACGTCATCGCGAAAAAAACCGTCGAACAGGTGCCGAATCCACCATGGCTCAAAAACCGGGAACCCGGACGCTGCGGCAAGGCTGGAGAAAAGCACATCAGCTCGCCGTCCTCACCAGCTCGAGGAGCCACTGGGATGTCCAGGAGATACCCAAAAATTGAACCAACAAATATTGCAACCAGTACCTCAATTTATGGCTTTTACTGACGAAAACCATTTTTTTCACCATGGGATTTCGGCTGTCCTCTTAGATTTTACCATGTTTCAGTGAGTTCCCGAAAAACGGCCCGAATCTGGCCCGAAGCCCACTGGAAGGGCTAGTTCTAAGCCTATTCCTTTGTTACAGTGTCCCAAAAAAAAAGTGGAAAAAAGTATGGACCTTGGAGTCAGTTTGCTCAACCATTTACCGTCGCCCAAATGCTTGGGGGATATAGCCTTACTCTTGAATCAACCAAAGTTCCAATCAGGCCGCATCCCACTTTAAAAAGCCCCCAACTTGGAAAAGGGCAAGCTTCAAAAGCCTGGAAAACTATGATGAACATCGAAATCGCTCGGACTTGTGAATGTGAGTAACCACCCAAATCGCTGATATTCTAAGTTTTGATACATCCAAATATATTCTAATGATTCTAATGTATATGTACCTAAGGCTGTTTGTGATAGTCGACTATGTCTCATTTTATTGGACGGTTCTTAGCTCCATCATTGTTTGTCGCCTAGACTGGTATGGTGACTCCAAAAAGGAAACTATGGAATCGGCAATGAGTAGTGATTCTTTGGAGCTGAAATCGCTTTGATTTGGAGGATACCCAATATTTTATTCCTATGGATCCAAACACTGTCTGAGAAGGTACAAGACACCCCCTAGTCATCATACCCCAGTCGTACTTCCTAAGGTAAAACTGGATCCATAGGGATAGTTACAGTAATATCTACAAGGAACCCCCCTAGTGATGTTGGTTTATAATCCCCATTAACTATAGATATAACCCCCATAAATCATAAATCCATTTAAGACAAAAAAGCCCATTTGCGGTCGACTGAAAGTCCCAGTCGAATTGCATCTGACGACCCACCTTGGTCATGGGCTCAAAGATTTGACACTCCTTTCCACCAATCAATACCTGCACGGACATGAATGGCTGATTTCTAGATTTAGACATCAAAATTGTGTCAAAATGTTGGAGGCAGATATGGGCATATAGATATTATAAATATTTATATATATATATATACACATGCATGTTTCAAAATATACAGTATCATACAGATAAAAAAATTAAAAAAACGTTTCTGTGTCGATGACTGGAAAAGAATCCATCCTCAAGCAGAGGCAAAAAAAAACGGCCTCGACTAATAAGGACCTTCGCAAGCCCAACATCCCAACATCCCCACAACATCCCTCAATGATGATCGTTTCTGAGGATGGTCTAGATATGTCTAATGAAACATCAATGATATTAGATCTATGATATATTCAGGATCTAGATGTAAATGATTAATGGTTATCATGAAATTCTTATCATTTTCATGATATTTTCATGATGGTCTAGATATATCGAAAAAGAATCCTAAGCCCAGTTGTCAGTGATTATCAACCAGTTCTGAGGATGGCCTGATCCTCCAAGTATGGGGAAACTCAGTTGGTAAATTTTCTCCCATACCTGGGTGAGTAACACATTTCCCAAGCCAGTTACGAGGACCCAAACAGGTCCTCGGCCCTATTCAGGGAATCCACTTCTATCCCCATAGCTTTTTAATAGATGTTCATTAGTGAAATGGGTATAGAAAAAGTGACTTATTAAAAATTGGTAACTAGTGTTAATCAACTAGCTTTCAGGGAAGTAACTTCGTTTTTTCATTAGTTCAAATCAAAGTGACTGAGTGAACTCTCCGCCAAAGGGTATGAGTCAAACTTGGGTACATACTTAGCTGCTTAATAACGGTTAAAGTAATACCAAAATCGACAAGTCAATCTGTTGTCCAGGTCTTCAAATTTTCACCCATTCCCATATCCGAGTGTTGGGTTGGTGGTTAATAAGCCATTAAGCCAAAACATTATTGGGATGGTTATATTCTACTACTAATATCCCATGACTGTTTCCACTATATGATACCCCGTGCTTGATCGTTGACCATTATTTACCTCTTATAAATCCATAGTCAATTATCCAATAATCCTATATATATCAAATTAATGTGGCGGCAAGCCAAAAATCAACCTGCAATGCAACAATGCAACTATGAGATGAACTATCCCATATTACCATGGGAAATATTCCACATTACCAATGATCCATAGTCAATACCCTCTGGTAAACGTTTACATAACTATGGAAAATCACCATTTGTCATGGAAAAACTCAATATAATTGGCCATGTTCAATAGCTATGTTTAAAAAAAAATCTATGGGAAATCAACTATTTAACTATTTCGACTGGGCCATTTTCAATAGCTTTTTGTACGTTTACCAGGCCGGGTATCCCATTTCATCAGCCTCCCGGCCCTCCCGGCCCTCCCGGCCCTCCCGGCCCTCCCGGCCTGTGTCACATACGCGAAGCCCGCACCCGTAATGTGCAGCTCCGTGCCGCCCGCGGTGGAACCGTGAGGCGGCTCTACCTGGACGACTGAAGTCAGCGGCCATTTTATGGTGGTTCAACCGACAGAAACCAGTGATTCAACCAGCAAAAATTCGTGTTTTTTAAGCAGCAAAAATGGTGATTCCATCAGCATCTTTATGAGTGAAAAGCCACAGAAAATGAGTGAAAACCCAGAGAAAATGAAGGCCAACCCAATTTAAAAAAAAGTCGGGAAGGGAAACTAACACGTCTTATTCCATGAGACGTTTGTTTTCATAAGGATTCCGGTTTGTGGATAATGATCCCTCAAAATGCCTTGAATTCTGCCAAAAAAAAATGCTTTACCACCTCTTGGTGTGAGCCACGGCTCCATACTCAGAATGTTTTTAATACCCCCAACGAGTGGTAACCTGGTCATTGGGTGAGGGTGTATGATTCATTTACAAGGTGGTGTCCCCCAGTTATAAGTTGGTTTATAAACCCCATTAACTATAGTTAGATCCACCATAAACCCTAGATATTGAACTTATTTGCACCAACTTAGCCAACGAACTGGGACACCACCTTGCTATAGGACTGGGTCTTTCTCGAAATTCACTTTTTTATACCCTGAATGGTTAGTTATTGAGTCAATGC